TCATTTGTGTACATTATTACAGTATATTGAACAAGCTTAATGTGATTTCCATTATTCTGTGTTATAGATATGTGTGTCAGGTACAGTGGGGATCGAAAGTTTGGGCACCCCAGCTAAAAATTTGTATTAATGTGCATAAAGAAGCCAAGGAAAGATGGAAAAATCTCCAAAAGGCATCAAATTACAGATTAGACATTCTTATAATGTGTCAACAAAAGTTAGATTTTATTTCCATCATTTACACTTTCAAAATAACCGGAAAAAAAAAAAATGGCGTCTGCAAAAGTTTGGGCACCCTGCAGAATTTATAGCATGCACTGCCCCCTTTGCAAAGCTGAGACCTGCCAGTGTCATGGATTGTTCTCAATCATCGTCTGGGAAGACCAGGTTATGTCAATCTCAAAGGTTTTAAATGCCCAGACTCATCTGACCTTGCCAAAAAATCAGCACCCTGGGTTCTTCTAAGCAGTTGTCTAGAAAACTGAAAATAGTTGACGCTCACAAAGCTGGAGAAGGCTATAAGAAGATAGCAAAGCGTTTTCAGATGTCAATATCCTCTGTTCAGAATGTAATTAAGAAATGGCAGCCATCAGGAACAGTGGAAGTTAAAGCAAGATCTGGAAGACCAAGAAAAATATCAGACAGAACAGCTCGCAGGATTGTGAGAAAAACAATTCAAAACCCACGTTTGACTGCACGATCCCTCCAGAAAGATCTGGCAGACACTGGAGTTGTGGTACACTATTCCACTATAAAGAGATACTTGTACAAATATGGTCTTCATGGAAGAGTCATCAGAAGAAAACCTCTTCTACGTCATCACCACAAAAATCATCGTTTGAAGTTTGCAAATGAACATATAGACAAGCCTGATGCATTTTGGAAACAAGTTCTGTGGACCGATGAGGTTAAAATTGAACTTTTTGGCCGGAATGAGCAAAGGTACGTTTGGTGAAGAAGGGGCACAGAATTGAATGAAAAGAACCTCTGTCCAACTGTTAAGCATGGGGTTGTATCAATCATGCTTTGGGGTTGTGTTGCAGCCAGTGGCACAGGGAACATTTCACGAGTAGAAGGAAAAATGGATTCAATAAAATGTCAGCAAATTTTGGATGGTAACTTGATGCCATCTGTGAAAAAGCTGAAGTTAAAGAGAGGATGGCTTCTACAAATGGATAGTGATCCTAAACACACCTCTGAATCCACGGGGGATTACATCAAGAGGCGTAAACTGAAGGTTTTGCCATGGCCTTCACAATATCCTGACCTCAACATAATTGAAAATCTTGGATAGACCTTAAAAGAGCAGTGCGTGACAGACAGCCCAGAAATCTCAAAGAACTGGAAGACTTTTGTAAGGAAGAATGGGCAAAGATACCTCAAACAAGAATTGAAAGACTCTTGGCTGGCTACAAAAAGCGTTTACAAACTGTGATACTTGCCAAAGGGGGCAGTACAAGATATTAACTCTGCAGGGTGCCCAAACTTTTGCAGATGCCATTTTTTTGTTTTCTGTTATTTTGAAAGTGTAAATGATGGAAATAAAATCTAACTTTTGTTGAGATATTATAAGAATGTCTAATCTGTAATTTGATGCCTTTTGGAGATTTTTCCATCTTTCCTTGGCTTCTTTATGCACATTAATACAAATTTTTAGCTGGGGTGCCCAAACGTTCGATCCCCACTGTACATCTTCAGCCTCAGTAGTGTCAGCTGCATCATATTCTCTATTGTGTTGGGAAGTTAATTTTTGAAGTACTTGCACTGACTCGCCTATTTCTCATTATTGTTCACCTTCTTTTGTCAGCTACAGATGTATCACAGTCACCTAGTGACATTCACACACAGTCACCTAGTGCCTGTCAGACTGCTTTGAATTAAGTTTAAATTAAAGCATTTGCAGTTTAATAAAAAAAAAAACTATTTTATTAAGGTCTCATTCTTAAAGCAGTAACCCATAGCAGCGAGTCAGACTTCACTTTATAGACCTCATACAAGTACAAGATGCATGGGTGTTGTGAATTTCTACACTTAATTAACACAAGACCATTTTTGTTAAGGCTGCAAGGTTTATTAAGACCTCCAGAGAACTAATGGTATGTAAATTGGGGTAAGAAGAAGTTACTCAAAGGCACTGTAGCAGCAGCCACACACTCACAGTGGTCCTGGCCAGGCGGGGTTGGAAATGTCTGTTCATATGAGAAATGACCCTTTGGCGATGCACCTTGAATGCTGCAGATATGCCCAAGCAACATCTGATTCACTTTAAGGGACATCGTCTCTTCTGATCTGCCCTTGACACTCTCATTAGCGATGTCACTAGGGATCAGAGTGTGCTCCTGCAGCAACACGAGATCTTTGGATGTGGTGGAGTAACGCTAACCTTCATCTTCTACTGCAGTAGTACCCTAATAGGCGACCAGAGCTTACCTGCCACTAAAACCACAGGTCTTGAAGCCAAAAGTCCTCTATTTTGTTTGCTCAACCTTCTGCATTAAGGTGCACCCTTTTGCAAGTGGAGGCTGTTCATTCAGCTAGGTTCTTCGGTAGTTTACGCAGTTTGGTTGCTCAGGTTTCCCCCTGTGGCCTTCACTCTAGACCCTTGACTCAAGCACCTCTTTTAGCTGTCCTTCCTCTCCTTTCTGATAATACTGCGTCCCACTGTACATATTCCCAGGGTTGTTTGGGTTCCCAGCATCTTAGGACCTCTACGTCCTACTCTAGTATGAGCCTATCCTTAGGGATGATATTCCACATAAACTCAAATTATTTTCTCTGAGGTGTCCTGTACCCCTTGTTGCACTTGACTCTGATGAGCCCAGTTTTTCTCCTGAGGGACCTTTTGATCTCCAAGGTTCATAAGGCTCAGCCCCTGCTGCTTCCTTCCCTAATAAGAACCTGATGCTTCTGTGCCCTACTACAGTTCTGATCCCTGTTCATAACACTTATTCTGTCCACCCTAGTGCAATGCCAATTATCCTATCATCTTCAGACTTTGTCTATGTACGCTTTGCCAACTATCTTGGCAACTAATTTTTTTTTTTACCTCTCTTTCTGAGTTTGGAATCTGGACAAAGCACCAAACTGGTCCCTTCAGACCAAGAAGTCCAGGACACTCTTTGCTGGACTCTAGCTCTGGAAGGGATGGTCCCTTCTTCCCATCTTAGGAGGACTCCCTAATGGACTGCCCATTGAGTCTTGTTCTCTAGAACAGACTGGATCCTGAGTTGTCAAGGGGAAATTTGTGCTGACCTAAACTGTGCTGGATATCATATGGATGCTGCAGGACCTTCATCTCCTGAAAGATTTGGGACAGATCGGTTGACCTTCTCCCTATGCTGGATAGCACTGAGTGTATAATTTGTTATCACAACATCTTTCTTACAGTCAAAGTATTGCCTTCCAGATCTCCTCAACTGATGATCCCCACCATGAAGGGTGAGGGTTCTGCACATGAATGCCTCTCCTTTCCTTCCTGAAGGGAAGTGTTCATTACTGTAAGGCAAGCAGGCAGAACACACTGTTACCCTGCTACATATTTCCCCTAAAGAGGTTAGTGTAAATCCAGAGGCCTTCATGGGACCTGATCACTGGGAGATATGTCCTCTGTGGCCGAGCTTCGGTCTTTATGGCAAGCCTCCTTAGATTTCCTACTTTCTCCTATTCTATATCAGGTGAATATTTTTAGTACTAGTACTAGGATTCCTATCCCTCACTCCTTGGCAAAGTATTCTGCTCTCTACAGGGGTCGGTTTTTTTTCACCTGTATCCATTTAGATTTTATGCTGTGAGGGCATCCATGGCTATCTATTTCTAACAATGGTAATTGGTTACATCCTTCCTTATCATGGACCTTCCCTTTCTTGAAGCTCTTGACCGGCTTACTATTTACAAACTTCCTTTCCAAGAAGTCAAAGGTTTGCTATATTAAAATATGTCATTTATATATTCTATATTAAAATGTATAAACTCTAACAATACATTTTTCTTGTTTGCTCACTTTTTGTTCTGATATACTATTGACAGCATTTTATTATGTCTGTTCAACAAATGAAAATAAAATTTGGTTCATCTAGTAAGAAATATTGTGAGCTGATACTGTACTTTCCTATAATTTTTGTGCCTGGACTGTTGTCCGTTAGTATTGTTCCTTGCCAATGCCGTGGTCTACAAAATATCTTCCCCTGGTATGGGGAAGAGAGGGAAGGTGTTTTGTACTCCAAATATAGTGTTATGTTAAAGGAAGGATTATATGACAGTTAGCTTAAAGGATACGTTCAGCTTTCCTAACATGTTACACCCATATTCAGGATGTAACATTACTGTTGCAGCAGCCACCACAACCCTACCCCCTTTCCCCCATCCCCCATTGTGACAACAAGCCGAGGATCCTCTTCCCACACCCGCTGCCAAAATTTAAAAAAAAAAAAAAAACACAAGCATACAGTTGTGTGAATGGGACAACTTCAACTATTGTCAGCCATTGCGGCTGACTGCTTTTAGTTCTCAACAAACTACAGGGCACTGATGAGAGCTCTAGTTAGTTAATTAATGCTCCCTGTCATTCAGTAACTGCTTGCCCGTATGAGGTACGGGCAGACAGCTACACTGACAGTCTGCAGGAGCCTGAGATGGGATCCGTGATCTGCTGACCCTGGGTGCAATTCTTTACAGGCTCCTAATAAAAAAAAATAATAAATGCATATTTTTTTACCTGCAAAAAGCTGTGCATTTATTATTTTTGTTTTACAAAGGTCAACTTATTTTATAACATTTTTGTTTGCAAGTGTCCCAACCTCCTGTAAGTGGCATTATAACCTGTCTAGGAATTCCATAAATCCCCATCTCTTTCAATCGACTTTGAAAAAAAAACAAAAAACTTTACAGGAAGTACAAACATCTTATTTTCCTAGATAGTGACACTTTTTTCATGTCACCTCAGCCTTTAGCTTGTGTTGGGGTCTTTGTTAAATGTGTCCCTTTTTTGTTTTATCTTCCAGGATACCCATCGCTCATACAAGCAGAAGTTGGAGGAATTAACAAAGCTCCAGACACGGTGTTCTAGTTCTATTACACGTCAGAAGAAGAAGCTAAAAGACCTATCACTAGAATTAAAGCAGTATGTGATGCCTTTTGTCTAATGGGAATTAAATGGCAGATGCAATCACTGTTCATTCTAGACAATGATATTGTAATTACTAAGCTAATCTTGCATATACCCCCTCAGAGTATACAGTGACATTCAAAGTTCTGACTGCACCAGATGTTAGGAACCGTAACATTGCCTAAAATATATTTACATATAAATTAGGCTTTGACAATCTAGATATGGATGACTATGAAAAAAACGGAATGATTAAAAGTTATAGAAAACTGGTCACAGGCCCTAGATGAATGAAACTGAAAAAAATGCTTTGTTAAAACCACATGAAAAAATAGTCAGTAGGCCTACAGTGATATAGGAAGCCTATGTTCTATGAAGATTGCAACCTTTTGCGCAGAGGTTAAAGAATAAGTCCTATAGATTTCTATGGGGCATGTCTACCTCCATCTCCTAGCGGGGAAACTGACCCATAGAAGTCTAGGTGTTGCTGCAGTTGGGGGAGGGAGAGCGCACTGCCCATGCACAGCTTTTCATCAAGCATGCGCCCTCATGTAATGCGGGGATGAACACCATACATCTGGTATGTCCAAGAAAGTAGCCATGACATAGGAATATAAACAGTTTGGGAGTATACTGGCAACTCTTCAGGGGGACAAAAACAGTTCTACAGGTATTAAAATTACAATAAACGATATTTTGAAAAATGGCACAGTTCACTTTAATCTTCTGAGGCCCCATGTCACTATAGGCTATTGTATACAAAAAGTGAACATAGCCTTTAACCACTTGCCGTCTGCCTGCTGTTTATAAACGGCAGGGCGGTGGCACTCCAGGGGCGGGTTGCCGTTCATAAACGGCACCCGCCATTTCCAGCTCCCTGGGAGTGTGCAGCACCGCGATCCGGTGCCCGCTGTGTCCTCCGATCGTCGGACGGGACCTCTGTACATGGTCCCGATCATGTGATCACTGATAGGCCAATCAGTGATCACATGCAAAGTAGTAAGCAAGATGTCACTTGTGACATCATTGCTTACTACGTGTGAAATCTGTGAATGATCACAGAGGTCACATGGTACAAGGCTATTCACAACAGCCTTGTACCATGTGACAAGGTGTGACCAATCACAGCTCACTCAGTATTTCTCAATGCCTGCAAGAATGCAGACAGAGAGAAAGAGAAATGTTTGCTTTTACATCCTATATGGATGTAAAAGCAATCACTGTAAAAAAAAAAAAAAAAAAAAAAAATCTTCATCGCCCCCCACAAGTAGTACAGTGTCACCATGGTGACACTGTACTGCTAGGGTGACTATGTTAAAAAAAAAAAAAACATAAATAATAATATAAAAATTAAAAAAATGTTTAAAAATTATAATTTTTGTTTATAAACTAATTTGGCTTATTTTTTTTTTTTTTACTAAAAATATAATGGAATACATGTTGGTCAAGATTTATGATGAAAGATTATTTATTTGCAAAATTTTATAAGAAAACACTTTTTTTTTTTCAAAATTTTTGGACTTTTTCATTTACATAGCAAAAAAAAAAAAAATCCCAGCGGTGAATAAATACCACCAAAATAAAGCTTTATCTGTCTCAAAAAAATGGTGAAAAATTCATGTAGGTACAGTATTGCATGACATTGCAATTGTCATTCAAAGTGTGATAGCACTGAAAGCTGAAAATTGCCCTGGACAGGAAGGGGGTAAAAGTGTCCGGACAGGAAGTGGTTTTAAACAAACAGTGTTTTTAAATCCGCTGGAAAGATTCTTACCTGGAAATTCTGCCAATAAATGCATTTCCTGTTGCAGACTGAAAACACTAAGGCTACGTTCACACTAGCTCTGTCAGACAGGCGTTTGGGAAGTGTTTTTAATGAAAATTCTGCACATGGCAGCACACATTGCTGTTCACACTGAAGCATCGTGGCAAAACTGGCGCCTCATGTCAGGAGGAGTTGAAGCCTCCCATTCAAGTCTATGGTGACACTCCTGAAACACCTTGCAGGCGTTTGCAAGGCGTTTGCAGAACGTAATACCATTAAACTTCTTTATAGGCGTTTGTGGTGCGGTTTTAATGCTTGGCAAACGCCTCAAAAACGCGTATAGGGCATTGAGGTGCGTTAAAAACTCTTCCCAAATGCCTGTCAAACGCTATAGGCGTGTTTGGCAAGAGTTAGACATAAGTCAAGTGTGAACGAGCCCTAAGCCACTGTCATTCATTTAACAGAAGTGTTGTCTGGTTGCCTTGCAAGCTTCTTTATGTGGCCATTGGACTGCTAGTTTGATACACCTGATAGGCAGCCCATGGCCAACTTATGCCACCCACACACGGGTCGAATTCCGAATAAATTTTCTTTTAGAAAATCAGATATTTTCTGCGTTTTGTAATCCGATGGTGCCACTATTGATTTCAACATTTGACGAGCCAAGCCTTTAATTTCATCTCATGTTGCTACAGAAAAAAGAAATTTTCGTGGCCAAGAATTTTCTTTTCTTTCCAGGTCACAGCTCATGCACATTTCTTTTTCAATTACATTTCTGGAACAATTTTCCCATCATTGGTTAGAAATTCATTTGTCTTTCAAAAAAATTCCAACATACCGATCACTTACATTTGATGGTTGTTCGAAAATCAACTGTTGCTGCGGCCTATTAACTTCTTGCCAACCGCGCATAGCCGAATGACGGCTTCACCGCGGCCGGCCAGTTCTGAGTGGACGTCATATGACGTCCTCCCAGAACGCGCTCTCCTGCGCGCCCCAGGGGGCGCGCACCCGGCGATCTCCGTGATCGCTGTGTCCTACGGACACAGCTGATCACGTGATGTGGTTAAAGGCCGATCCCACCGGCCTTTTACCACGTGATCAGCGGTGTCCAATGACACGCTGATCACAGGGAAATGCAAGTGCCGGTTCTCGGCTGCACTTTCCTCACGCTGTCAGATCGTGAGGAAAGTACTGCCGAGAACCGGCAGTTGTCAGAGCGGGGATCGGCACCGATCATCAGGGCACTGATGATCAGTGCCCTGATGATCGGTGCCCAGCAGTGACACCCGCAAGTTCCGCCCAGCAGTGCGCCCACTAGCCCCGCCCACCCGTTCCCAGCAGTGCCCCCACCTGTGCCCAGCAGTGCCCCCACCTGTGCCCAGCAGTGCCCCCACCTGTGCCACTCTGCAGTGCCACCTACCTGTGCCCAGAAGTGCCACCTACATGTGCCCAGCAGTGCCACCCACCTGTGCCCACCCACCAGTGCCACCCACCTGTGCCCACCAGTGCCACCCACCTGTGCCCACCCACCAGTGCTGCCCACCAGTGCAGCCCAGCAGTGCTGCCAGTCAGTGCCACCAGTCAGTGCCCAGGGGTTGTGCCAGTCAGTGCCGCCAGTCAGTGCCCAGAAGTGATGCCAGTCAGTGCCGTCTATCAGTACCCATCATCAGTGTCACCTATCAGTGCCGCCTATCAGTGCTGCATATCAGTGCCGCCTATCCGTGACCCCTAATTAGTGCTGTCTATCAGTGCCGCCTATCCGTGCCACCTCATTAGTACTGCCTATCAGTGCCCTTTAGTGCTGCCTATCAGTGCCGCCTATCAGTGCCCATCAGTGCCGCCTCATCAACGCAAATCAGTGAAGGAGAAAAAATACCTGTTTGAAAAATTTTATAAAAGAAACAAATAAACTTTTTTTTTTTTTTTTCAAATTTTTTGCACTTTTTTTAATTTATAGCGCAAAAAGTAAAGCGCCCAGTGGCGATTAAATACCACCAAAAGAAAGCTCTATTTGTGAGAAAAAAATGATCAAAATTTCATATGGGTACAATGTTGCATGACCGCGCAATTGTCAATCAAAGTGCGGCAGCGCTGAAAGCTGAAAATTGGTCTGGTAAGGAAGGGGGTATAAGTGCCTGGTAGGCAAGTGGTTAATGGTGTGAAATTCAAATGAAAATTCTTAGAAAAGATTTTCAAAAGAAAACTCTTTCGGAATTTGACCCATGTATGGCCTGCTTAAGAGTGCACACAGCAGGCTGATATTGCTGGTGCTGATTGCAAGGCAATGGCTTACCTGAAACAGGAAGAGCTGTTACTGGCAGGATCTCCAGAGAAAAAACTTTACAACAGAATCACAAAAATTCAGTTAACCTCTTGGCACCAGCCGCATGCAAATGTGCGACCTCCCAGGCGTCTGATCCTTGATGCGGAGCGGCCGCACATTTGCGTGCAATTAAGAAAAACATATGTGCTGAGAGAGCGCACGCCCTGTGCACTCCCAGCACACATGTCTGGTATTCATGGAAAGGTCCCAATCTCCTCTTTCGATCGGGACCTTTCCTGAACATGTGACCGCCGTGACAGCGAATCATGGCAGTCACATGACCCTAAAACCCCGCCTCCCGGCTTCTGAAACCCTTAAAGGGCCGGGAGGCACCGGTGCCAAGGGGTTAAGAAATCTGTCAGCCGTGATGCCAAACCTACTGAACAATTGATATTTAGTTTATATACACTTTTAACTTCACATTTTGCAGAGATGGGCAAATATTTGCTTGTAGTAACTCAATAAATGAGCTGCCCTAATGCCAAAGCCAGTTGACAGTTTCAGGCCCAAGAGCGAATTTGCCTGAATAACAGCCCAATTTTGTAGGCTTAACCTCACGTGCACATACCTTTAATTTTATTTTGGTCAAGAGATTTGCTAGCCCTTACCTCTTACAGTGCTGAATTACAGATGCCTGCATTATTTATTGATTTATTTATTACAGGTACTTGTATAGCACTGTCAATTTACGCAGCGCTTTTCATATATATTGTACATTCACATCAGTCCCTAACCCTCAAGGGGTGTACAATCTAAGGTCCCTAACTTACATTCATACATACACTTACTAGGGCCAATTTAGACAGAATCCAATTAACCTACCAGCATGTCTTTGGAGTGTGAGAGGAAACCGGAGTACCCGGAGGAAACCCACACAGGCACAGGGAGAACATGCAAACTCCAGGCAAGTGGTGCCGTGGCTGAATTCGAAGCAATGACCCTAGTACTTCCAGGCGGAAGTGCTACCCATTTAGCCACTGTGCTGCCCATCTACAGCCTTACCTCTTTTTATAGGGTTACTGACATAACTGCAGCGTAGAGTCTTTACCACTAGCCTACTGGGCACTTATACCCCCTTCTGCCCAGGTCAATTTTCAGCTTTCAGTGCTGTCGCACTTTGAATGACAATTTCGCGGTCATGCAACACTGTACTCATATGAAATTTTTATCATTTTTTTGAGACAGAGCTTTGTTTTGGTGGTATTTAATCACCTCTGGGTTTTTTATTTTTTGCTAAACAAACCAAAAACAACTGAAAATTTTGAAAAAAAAAAGTTTTTTCTTAGTTTTTGTTTTAAAATTTTGTAAATAAGTGATTTTTCTCCTTCACTGATATGCGCTAATGAGGCTGCAGTGATGGGCACTGATAGGTGGCACTGATGAGCACTAAGGAGGCACTGGTAGGTGGCACTGATGGGCATTGACAGACATCACTGATAGGCACTGAAAGGCAGCACTCATATATGGCACTGATAGGCACTGATAGGCGATACTGACTGGCACTTTTAGGTGGCACTAACTGGCAGCACTGATAGGTGGCACTGACTGGCATTGATAGGTGGCACTGACTGGCACTGATAGGTGACACTAAAAGCTAGCTCAGATGGGCACTGATATGTTGCATTGATGTGCACTGGTATGCACTGATTTGTGGCATTGATGTGGCACTGATGGGCACTGGCAGGTGGCACTGAGCACTGACAGCTGGCATTGATGGACACTGACAGGTGGCACTGCTGGGGCTACACTGATCATCAGGGCACACTGATCATCAGTGCCCTGATGATCAGTGTACATGTCCCCTCCGAGGAATGCCGATTACCGCCTGTCTTCTCCTCTCGAGCTGTCAGCGTGACAGCTCGTGAGGAGAGAAGTGCCGATAACCCACATTTCCTTATTTACATGCAATCTTTGTGATTGGACACAGCTGATCACATGACCGAGCAGAAATCTTGGCTCTTTCCGTTGATCGGTGATCCACTGTGTCCGAGGGGCACAGCCGATCGCCACACTGCGTGCTCTCGCAGCCGCGCATGCGCGGTTAGAATGGTAGGGCGTCATATGACATCCTCCCAGAACGAGAGAACCGCCTTGCGCCCATTATTGCCTTATATGGCGGGCAGGAGGCGGTTAAGGCGACCCATTCCAGTAGGAACAAAATGATCTGCTCCTGATCATCTCACTATCTTTCTGATTACAATCATAAAAAATTGAGTACTGTCTATGATACTTTTTTATTTACACTAACATCCAGTTTTTCGGGTCAAGCTTTTGGGTTGTACCTCCTTCTTCATAGTCCAAGCAGTACTAATGCACAAAATTTTAGCAGGGTGTTCATAGGACGGTCTGCTATAACTTTGTGCATTAGTACTGCTTGGACCTTGAAGAAGGAGGTACACCCCAGAAGCTTGTCCTGAAAAATTGGATGTTAGTGCAAATAAAAATGTATCACGGACAGTACTCAATTGTTTTTGTTGCGAGTGCACTAATATGGCTGCAATCACCTCAAGCATGATTGCAACCATCTATGCTCAGTCAAGTTGAAGTTGTGTGGTGAGTAGGTTAAGAAAGGCAGAGAGCTGATAAGACGCAGAATGCTCTTTACCTACTTGAATGGGTCATGTTAGAAGGTGTGACCTGTGCCCAGGCAGCCTGTACTATTCCCAGAACATATCCTAACTAGCTACAACAAACTGTGGTGCACAACTGGGACTTTGTCCTTTTCTCCTTGTCTCTTTATAGTAGAAAGCTTTCTAAGCTTTGAAGATAATTTCTCTAGCAATAATCCACCCAAAGTGAGCTGTCTCTTGGAAAATGTATGATGAACACTGTTTTCTTTAAGTAAAATGCCTGGGATTGGATCCTGACGTCTTTGCATGTATGCAGGGTTAAAGACAGCCAAGAAAATGAGGAAGACCAAATTAAAGACATACAAGAAATCATTAAGCTGCGGGATAAAACATTCTTTGAGATGGAGTCCTTTTTACCAAAGAAAAATGGGTAAGGGATATGGTCAAGGAGACTTGATCTTTCCAGTGAAAAAAAAATGATTGATAATATGCATGTACAAATTCAACAACAATAAAGTCATCTCTAGGTTTTAAGGTGGTTGCTGGCAAATAAGAAATGAACAACAATTGTTTAGAAACAATATAGTGTAGACAAAAGTATAGATGCACATGTAGGTTGGTCTATTTATGAAACAATATCTGTTCAAGTGTCTTACGCATTGGCACAGCCGTCATGAGTAATCGCCATATTATATATAATAAGTTTGTATCCAATGATGGTCTTCTCCATCTAGTGGTAATGCAGTATTTTCCTGATTTAGTTCAGGAAAATATGACAGTATGACCACTAGATGGAGCTGATGATCACAGGAAATAAATGTATTAGGCACATTACAGGGATTGTTCATACTGGCTGTGCAAATGCCTTATAAAGATCCCCAAATGTTAAAAGACACGGGTGCTGTAAGGCAAAAATAACAAAGAAGTCCAAAAGTCCAGTTAAACTATTTAAGTCTCTTCTATGCAAATAACTTCTATCAGTCCAAAAAAAAATATTATTCTGTGTTTCCATTAAGCCATCTCCTGTTCGTAATGATTTTATAGAACGTTAGGTAACCATTCACACTTGGATTATTCTTGTGTGTTGTGTTAAAGTGTATTACTAAACCCACAACAGTAAAATCAGTCTGTATATGCAGTAAAGCATGCTGGTTATACTCACTGTGGAACCCAAGGGGTTAATTCTCTGCAGTGTAAAAAGGATGTTTGATCCTGGCTTCTCTGATCCTTCCTTTCTTCCACAGTCCCCATGTCATCTCCTGATAAAACAGAGTCTTAGCGGCAAGCTGTACATGCTCAGCTTAGTGTGTATTGCTAGAGAGTTTTCTCTTTTTCTTGGGAGGGTGTATTTGATCAGCACAGGGCCAATCAGCACTGTCAAGACAGAGGGTCAGGGGTCCTGCAGCCTCGTAGGACAGTGAGAGGAGAATGAAAACTCCTCCTACAAGCTTTAACCAGTGCTGTGCTGGACACTGATAGAAGTCACAAGATTGCTGTGTACTGCTGATGAGAAAAGGTATTTAGCAGTTTATATTTACTAAAACATTTGCATTTCCATTTCTGTGTACTGTGGGAGACCAGATATAGTGAATTTAGGGTCCTGGGTTTAGTAACCCTTTAAGGCAGCCTAATCATTCACTGCATGTGCATCAGAGCTGCGTTGTCTTTGTACATTGCAGAGCGATTCATAGCATGTACGTTTTAACAGGTGTTACCACAAACGCACTGTATCTCAACAGTGTGTATTGGCCCTAATCGAAGAGTTCCCTCTTGAACATAAATGTTCTCTTTGTTGTTGTTATTTCATAGTTCTATGATTCTCAGGGAAAATATTTCCTCAAGAGGGCGAGGCTCTCCTTGTGGTTTTTTTTTTTATGCTTTTTTTTAATGTATCTTGTATATTTTATAACGTGATTGTGGGCTTCGCAGCCCCTCTGTTTTATAATGTGTTATCTGGACCCTAGTGTGGGTCTTATATATGTATTCCTGTGTTTCTGTATGGTGTTTCCTTGTCCTCTGTTGTCTGATGTTGCTTTCTATCATACGATTTGTCATGGTTTGTATGTTTCTTTTGCCATGTTTAATAAAACTTTTGGTACAAGAAAACAAATGTTCTCCTCAAATGCTGTAGTTTTGGAAAAGCTTTTCAGTTCATTACTATACTATTCCTTTCTATGAATGACCAACGTTTTAATGCTGAGGTTAGACTCCCCCAGTTCAAGCTCGAAGGATAGTAGAAGCTTGGAAGTTTGTTGATTTGAGGATTTAAAATGTTAAACTGTGATCTCATTATAGTGTGGTAACTGCCAGACACACATGGGATAAACGCCTATAAATGTGTAACATCTGGACGGAAATTGGAAAGCTCTGTTACCATAGCAGCCAGTCACAATCCATTATGCCCTGGTCTCACTTAAGTAAAGTGAATGCCTATTGTTTGTTATAGCTTGTTGCTCTTTGTACTTAGAGGTTCAGCTGCTTGCCTTGTATACAGAATAAAGCTTGAGCCCTGGTTCACACTGATGCAGTGCGGAATTCGCAGCGTTTTCAGTGCGAATTCCGCCTTGCATCAGAATTGCACTCCGTTCATGGGAACTGCTGCGGGTGTGTATGTTAAGTTAACAAAACCCCGAAAGTGGTCCTGCAAAACATGGTGCGATGTGAAGAATCGGATCGCATAGGTGTGAATCTGATTCTAGTGCAGACCCAAAAAAGGGTCCTGCAAGTTTTTTGGTGCGGTGATACAAAATGTGTGGCTCCAATTGCACCGCACACAAATCGCATGTGATTTGCACAGGAATGCGGTGCGGTTCCTCTGCGAATCACATGCGATATACGGAGCCGCACGTATGTGAACCCAGGCTTTATGTGTGAGTGAAAGAGAGATTTAAAACTGGAAGTGCTTCTCAAACCGCAAATGTATCCTAACTAATTGGTGCTTTTTTTTTTTTTTTTTTTCAGATTATACCTGAGTCTGGTATTGGGGAATGTGAATGTCACTCTTTTAAGCAAGCAGTCTAAGTAAGTATAAGGCACTTTAGGGGACGTTTCAGTATCTTTACAATTCTGCTTTAGTAAACACCTGCTATGTCACAATGTATAACAACAGTATAATTTTGCAGAAAATCTGTACTTTTTATATAATCAAAAGCTAGTACCCTCTGTTTCTGGCACAAGCGCTGGAAACGTTTCTTTACCTCTGTTTTCACCTCTCCCCCAGCAATTAGACTTTGCATCAAAATTTGTACAACCCCAATTCAAAATTAGTTGGGAAACCGTGTAAAATATACATAAAAACAGAATGCAATGATTTGAACACAGTAGAAAAAAGAAAACAATGTTTAAACTGAGAAAATGTACCATGTAAAAAAAAAAAAAGTAATTTTGAATTTGATGGAAGCAACACCTTTCAAAAAAAGTTTGGACAGGGCAATAAAAGCTGGCAAAGTAAGTGTTACTAACAAGGAAGAGCGGGAAGAATATTTTGCAACTAATTAGGGTTGGCAGCAAGTCAGTAACATGATTGGGTATAAAAAAAAGCACCTTAGAGAGCCAGAGTGTCTCAAAAGTAAAGATGGGCAAAGGGTCACCAATCTGTGAAAAGCTGCCCCTAAAAATTGTCAAACAATTTCACAATAATTTCCTTCAAAGTAAAATTGCAAGGACTTTAAATATATCATCATCTACAGTAGATGATATCATCAAAAGATTCTGAGAATCTAGAGGAATCTCTGTGCCCATGGGACAAGGCTGAAACGCATTATTATTTGTCCTTGATCTGGCCCTCAGATAGCACTGCATTAAAAACAGGCATTCTGTGATGGACATCTCTGCATGGGCTCAAGAATATTTCCAAAAATCACTGTCTGTGAACACAGTTCACCGTGCCATCAAAAAATGCAAGGTAAATCATTATCTTGCAAAGGAGCCATAACTGAACATGATCCAGAAACACCACTGTCTTCTCTGGGTCAAATCTCATTTTAAATGGTCTGTTGCAAAGTGGAAAACTGTTCCGTAGTCAGACGAATCGAAATTTGACATTCTTTTTTGGCAACTATGGGTGCCATACCCTCTGGACTAAAGAGGAATAGGACCCTCCGGCTTGCTATCAGCACTTATTTGAAAAGCCTGCATCTCTGAAAGTATGGGAGTGCATTAGTGCATATGGAATGGGCAGTTTACACAGCTGGAAAGGCACTATCAATGCTGAAAGATATATGCAGATCTTGGAGCAGCATATGCTTCCATCCAGCCATTGGGGGAGATTTACTAAAACCTGTGTACACAAAATCTGGTGCAGCTGTGCGTAGTAACCAATCAGCTTCCAGGTTTAATTGAACAAGCTGAAGTCTGAAGCTGACTGGTTACTATGCAGAGCTGCACCATTTTGTGTGCACCAGTTTTAGTAAGTCTCCTCCAATGTCGTTTTCAGGGAAGGCCTTTCATATTTTAGCAAGACAATGCTAAACCACATACTGCATCTGTGAGAACAGCATGGCTTCGTAGTAGAAGAGTCCAGGTGCTTAGCTGGCTGTTTTTCATCAATTGAAAATTTTTGGTGCATCTTGAAAAACAAATTTGACAAACAAGTCCTAGGACTGTTGAGCAGTTAGAATCCTATATCAGGCAAGAATTGGACAGCATTCCTCTCCCAAAACTCCTGCAACTGCACTCTTCAGTTCCCAGATGTTTACAGAGTGTGGTACACTGTGGTAAACATGGTCCTGTGCCAACTTTTTTGAGACGTGTTGCTGCCATCAGTTTCAGAATTACCTTCTTTTTTTTTTTCTTTTTTTTTTTCTGGTACATTTTCTCATTTTAAACAGTTGATAGGTTTTCTATTGTGTATAAAATATGGAATTATGACATTTGCAAATCATTGCATTATGCTTTTATGTAGCTTGCACACAGCATCCCAACTTTTTTGGAATTGGGATTGTACAGGTGCTTCTACAATATTTCACATACGTGTACTCAAAATAAATAAACAATATCGGATGTTATGTTCACTTTAAAGCTAAAGTTTAGGTATGGCTATTTTTGTATATTTACCTTGATGCAGCTTGGACCAATGTAATTATATATGTGTCATACCTGTGGGATTCAAGCTGGACCAATGTAATTATGTATGTGTCATACCTGTGGGATTCATGCTGGACCAATGTAATTATGTATGTGTCATACCTGTGGGATTCAAGCTATACCAATGTAACTATGAAAAAATTGCCATACCTAAACTTCAGCTTTAAGCTTTTATCCTTTTTGTCCATAGTCATAGTTGCATTACGTGTCTTTTTATTTTATCAGGTTTGCTTACAAAGACGAGTATGACAAGTTTTGTATATTTACCCTGATCCAGCTTGGACCAATGTAATTATGTATATGTCATACCTGTGGGATTCAAGCTGGGCCAATGTAACTATGAAAAAATTGCCATACCTAAACTTCCGCTTTATGCTTTTATCCCTTTTGTCATAGTTGCATTACGTGTCTTTTATTTTATCAGGTTTGCTTACAAAGACGAGTATGAAAAATTTCAAACTATACCTAACCATGATCCTAATGGTATTGTCCTTTATGTGTCGTTTTATACTGAACTCCAGGTGAGCTTCTTATACTATAATTATTAAACCTGTCAAAATAACTTGCGAAGGTTATTATTCCCTGTAAGATGATCATAATAACTTTTATTTCTAGTTCTGTTTCTTGATGTACACTCTAGAATTACACATGCTAAAAGTTACACTTCATTCATATAAAGGGTCAGTCCACCCAAAATATTTCAATATATGGTTGTTGCTGGTAGTCATATACCACCATCTTCTCTTGAGGACTCCCTTTTTTTTTTTTTTGTCATTTAAATATTTATTGGGGATTGTTTCTGGTCATTGAAGACTTGTACAGTAGAAAACAAAAGTCAAATACAATAGAGCAAAGTCCATCAGATTGAGTGCAGGACATATGGGAAGAAACAACCGTAATAAAAGACTCCCTTTTTTTTTTTGTTTTTCTTTTTTTATATCTCCGCATATATTTTTGCAAATGCCCCCATCTTGCTATCATAAGGAGTGTAATTTTTTAAATTATACATGATTAAAACGTCTTGTAAAGGTGAAAGGAGGGATATAAGAAGACAGGTTTTACGCCCATTGAGGTCCACTTGTGACTAAAAATTCAGTCTCAGTTGATTGATCATTTAAAAAAACAAAAACAAAAGAAATACTACTGTCAATCTTTGTCAAATACCATATCCATAGGTTCTCAGTGGGAATTCTTTTGGAGGCACACTTTTATTATTACTTGCTACCAATGGTTGTCTCCGATCACTAGAATCTGTTGGGTTTGAAATTAAGTCTATGCATAGAGAAATGAGAATCCAAATTTATCATCAAGAATTGGGAGAGTACCTTGATCATGGACACCGTCAATATCTGTTTAAAAGGGAGATGGCTGTACATGTGCCTAAAAATTCCTACTTATTCAACAAATATCTCTGATTCCTATAGATACTATTGACCATAAGCAATGTAGAGTGGTGACAATAAGCAATGATCCCTTGTTGAATATGCATGTATTTGTTTTGTCTTTCAGGGTGGGAGATGCTGTGTTTAACTTTTTATTGGTTTGGTATTACTGTACACTTACAATCCGTGAAAGCATTTTAATCAATAATGGTTCCAGGTTAGTGGAAATTTGTCATTGTTTTCTATATAGAGTGTACATTAATACATAACTAAGCCCACTGATTACTGTTTCCCAAAATGGTTACATTCAAGGCATGATAACTTTCACAGATATCGCTCTCCATTATGAACCGCTGCACTGCTCACACTGCAGCCCAACTATTTCATTAAATTTGGGCCACAGTGTAAAGCCAGCAAAGCCCAATAAAGTACTTTCTGCTCAATGGAATACAGCTCTATTACTGAAGGCGACCAGGCTTGTTCTACTGTTTTGTTTTTTTTTTTTTCCAGTCTGTTCTGTTGCTCTCCCAACTACTTCAGAGTCCCAAAGCCAGTGGAATGCAAAGCACATTTGCCCCGTAGTCTAGAACCTTTCATGTAACACATTCAGCCATTGTCACTGATGTTAGGTGATGGCTGACCAACACCCTGGTACCTGTTCTTTTGACAAGTGTTTCAGGGGTATTGTGTGAAATACCTATTTTGTTGACAGCATAGTTTTCCTATAAAGTGTCGGCCTTTTGGGGCAAAGGAGGACCAGTTTTTAATTTAACGTCTGATGGCTGGTTAACTTCTTGCCGGCTGTGAGAAAGATGAGCTTCCCAGCTGCTGCACATATGGGTACAAGGTGGCATGAGCTTTGTGTGCTGAGAGCGTGTGCTCACTGCAAGCTTTCAGCGCACTGACCAAACTATCACTGACAGCTCTAAGCAAAAAGGCTTCTCTAATCAGGAGCCAGCAGGGTGGGCTCCCAATCATCTGACATCTGTGATAACCAGTCCGTGCCCTTTCACATATATGCGGATTGGTTGCAGTTTGAACCACATCCAATCCGCATGACATGTGAAATAACATTGCTTCCTATGGTGCCTGTTCACATATGTCCAGTGCACTGCTGGTGCAGATTCAGTGCGGTTTTAAAGAGTCGTGCAGTCCAGTTCAGGTGCGGATTACAGACTATTGACTTCTATGGGAACCGTTTCTAAACCGCATGTGCGTGAACAGGATAAGATCCTTGGCTAATCCTGTAAACCCGACGTGAACCTGTGAAGAACTATTGTATCAATTCGCTGTGAAACCTGAACTTCAGTCCGCACTGCACATGTGTGAATCGGCACTCACAGTGCTTGCATGATACAGAAGTTGCATTACCTCCTAGCGGCCCTTTAGGTAGGAGGGCCCTGGGAGGGTTAAAGTTTAAGACCTAAAGATAATTGTACATTCATTATAGTTGGTTGCTGACAGACTGGATTTTGTTTTCTCTTCGGGACTACAGTAAATACTGTAAACAGCAGCCTTCGAGTGTACTTAACTTGATATGTCAAAATTGAGTTATTAAAAAAAAAAAAAAAGAAACCTCTGATCTTCAAAATATACAGTAAGTCATGGGGTATGCATCTTAGAGGGCAAGTTTATACATGATGGATCCTGTAGTGGAGGATAGCCGGATGTTTGCCATCCTGAGGGGAGGATAGCAGAGCTTTGTGCTTCATGAATTATGTGAAAGATTTATGAAAGTTAACTTCATACTATGTTTGTTTCCACAGAATTAAAGGCTGGTGGGTCCTAAACCATTATGTATCCACTTTCCTCTCAGGTGTCATGTTAACCTGGTAAGTTCACATATTATAGCTCTCTGGTAAACTGGATTTTACCTTATACTTCAAAATGAAAAGTCAACCACTAATGTTCTTTAGGGAACTTTTCCTTTGTCATCATGTCCCCATATTTGACAGTATATGCAGTAACTGCATATTCTTAGGCTATGCCTGCTTCTAAGGCCGGGGGTTTGGACTGTTGTTCTTCCTTGGACCAGACTTTTCGAGGAAGTCTGATAACTGCTACATAGGTCATAAAAGTGTAGATTTCTTTTTTTTTTTTAATTAATTGTACAGTGTAAATTTACAAATAAACAGAATACCACAAATAAATAAAAGGGGGATTTCTTTATCATTCAAAATGGCACAATTCACACTAAAAGGTTTTTAACCACCATCTCCCGTCCGGCCGTTGTATATAAACGGCCAGACGGTGGCAGTGCAGAGTCGAGTGGCCGTTTATAAACGGCCTCCCCACCCCCTGCTTGTGCGCGCTCCTTGGGATACAGTTGAACACCGATCGTCGTACGGGACCTCTGTGTGAGGTCCCGATCATGTGATCACTGATTGGCCAATCAGTGATCACATGAATAGTAGTAAGCAAGATGTCACTTCTGACATCATTGCTTACTATGTGTGAAATCTGTGAATGATCACAGAGGTCACATGGTACAATGCTATTCACAACAGCCTTGTACCATGTGACAAGCTGTGACCAATCACAGCTCACACAGTAGTTCTCAATGGCTGCAAGAATGCAGCCAGAGAGAAGGAGAAATTATTGCTTTTACAGCCTCTATGGGTGTAAAAGCAATAAGTGTTAATAAAAAAAAAAAAAATTTCATCACCCCCCACATTTAGTACCACGGTGACACTGTACTGCTGGGGCAGGGGTAGGCAACCTGCGGCTCTCCAGCTGTTGCAGGACTACAAGTTCCATCATGCCTCTGCAAGTCATAGCTGTAACTCAGTTTTGTAATGTTGCAATGCCTCATGGGAAATGTAGTTCCACAACAGCTAGAGAGCCGCAGGTTGCCTACCCCTGTGCTAGGGTGACAGTATATTAAAAAAAAAACCATAAATAATATAAAAAAAAATGAAAATGTAAAAAAAAGTTTAAAAATTTTAATTTTTGGTTATAAACTAATTTGGTGTTTTTTTTTTTTTTACGGAATAACGGAATACATTTTGGCCACGATTTATGATGAAATATTATTTATTTGAAAAATTTTATAAGAAAAACACTTTTTTTTTTCAAAGTTAATGGACTTTTTAATTTACATAGCAAAAAAATAAAAATCCCAGTGGTGAATAAATACCAGCAAAATAAAGCTTTATCTGTCTCAAAAAAATGCATGACCGTTCAATTGTCATTCAAAGTGTGATAGCACTGAAAGCTGAAAATTAACCTGGACAGGAAGGGGGTAAAAGTGTCCAGACTTGAAGTGATTAATTGAAGAAATGTCTGTGCTCCTGATCTTTTGGCTTCACTAGTTAGCAAGGCTTTCACCCAAAAGAAGTGTGCAGATGTAATATTGTGACTTCACTGGATACTTGTTTCTCCTGAAATGCCAGATTTTTTCAAATACTGCTTGCCATTCACTGTACAGGCCTATATATATATATATATATATATATATATATATAACATGGTGTTTTTAGGTTTGTTAAAAATGAAAAGGATTTGGAACCTCTGCAAATCAGTAGCAGCTCTTTACCAGTGCGAAAATAATAGAATTCGCATAACGTACGGGGGATAGGTTTACAGGCAGATGTGCTGACATGTTTATGAAGATCTCTAGTGTTGGTGGGTTCCGTATTCTTGTATATAACACCCACTGCACATTAAGAAAATTCTCCACTTTGCTTTCCAAAAACCTAACTTTGGGGTCCTGGAGCACTTGAGATGACATTGAAAGGTGTCTACTTTTTATTATTAGTTTTGGTACTGGTACTTTGATAGAAAAGGCATCCAATGTCTCTTCTACCAAAAGCCCCATCTCCTAGCTGTTTTTTGTCTCCTGACTTTAGTTCTGTTTTAATGGGTAGTCATGGGCTGTTTTTGAAGGTCTTCCATGTCTAACTGGTTTCCCATCCATGGGATAAGGTGACAGGCAAGAAATATGACTGTAAAATAAAGATTTAATAGCAGTTAGATTTTGTCAGCTCTAAAAAAATGCTTTTGTTTTTTTGTTTTTTTTTTAGGCCAGATGGATTAATGTACCAGATGTTCAGAAACCAATTCCTTTCATTTTCTATGTATCAAAGTAGGTGTGATATGTTTTTGTGTCTGTGCATATATTGTGTTTTGTCAGATTTTGTAAGTCTGGGTCAATATTTTTTTTTCATGAGCTGTTTTTGCTCCTGTAGGTTTTGTTCAGTTCTTGCAATACTACTACCAAAGTGGTTGTTTGTACAGACTACGGGCTCTTGGGGAGAGGCATAACATGGACCTTACTGTGGGTAGGTGGAAGAAACTCCGTATTAACAAACAATGTAGATCTATGTCAGTGCACAAGTAGACCTGAACTCAAAAAGTGAAGATTTGCTTTTATAGGAAACATCAGGTTTGAGTGGATAAAAATTCACACAACAGTACAATTTTCAATCTCAATAAATTTTTATTAAACGGACTGTAAAAAATACAGGGTAATGTTTAGGCAATTGACACTCGCACAGTGTCATCTAGATCATCTGATATATCTGTTGAGAGCTGGGTAGATATATTGCTGCAGGTTGACAAGACAGAGCTGATAAAGGCTCACCTCTAGTGTCACACAGGAAGTGTCACTCTGTCCCCTGTGTGTGATATCACTCTCTAAATACAGTTTGTAAACATTTTTCCACATTGTACATAAGTACATTGCCTGCTACATAGTGCTACCATAAGGATGTCTGCAGTAGGGTTGGAAGCCCAGAAGCTGATCATTTCATCTTTTGGGCTTAACACTGGAGCCTGACTGTCATTGACAGCAAACCGTTCCAGCTCTGATCCCTACCGGTGCTGGTAGGGATCAGAGCTGGAACGGTAGGCTGTCAATGTCAAAAGTTGTCCCAGTGCTGTTTTAAAATGAGGCTGGGAAAAATAGCCACCATTTCAGTGCTGTTTTAAAAGAAAACACATGAGACTTAAGTTGTTTATCTTTACTCTTTGTCCTTCTTGCAAATTGTAGATGTAACCTGGGGGCTACAAAGCCACGCAATCACTTCTACATGCCTCCATCACTGTTTACTGTTAGCGCCCAGGTGACAGAAAAAAAAAAAAAAATAAATGAAACATTAAAAGAAGTAAAAATAGGCAAAATAGAATAGAATAATTGAAACAACCAATACACACTCAGTACACAGACATAACATAAACCTACTCACAATTAGGACACATACACGCAGTACATTCACCCACATATTAGAAGCTCAAAGTGAAAACAAATTCCTCTAAAAGAAAAGCTATTTTACATACCTGTGTTTTTGCCTCACCTCTTTATGTTCTTCAAGGACTATGCCATTTGAAGTTGTAGTGTGCATGTGAAAATGGCAAAACTGGTTTTGTCATCCAAGGTTTTGAAATGAGAGTTCCCATTTAACCTTTAAATAAGTGTAATAATAAATGCTTTTATTTGTAATACTTTTGGGGGAGCTGTGATGTCTGCAGCCTCGGTAGCCAGGGTGTCAGACCACGTAAACATCCCTTTCTGCCTCTACCTGAAAGTATGGTCTGTGCCATTTGGGGTTAAAAATGTCACAAAGTGCCTTTTAAATGCAGTTCTATTCACCACTGTGGCATTGAAACCTGCTGTGCCAAGATAAAGTACTGAATGCAGTACTTTTTTTTTTTTTTTTTTTTTCCAGTACACACCACAAGTCATGTTGCTCTGTCTATATTTTGGTGCTATACAGGAAAAACCCGCCTACCTATCCCTAACAGTTTTTTTGTGTGAACACGCCCTAAAGGTGTGAGCATTTAGTTCAGTCGTGATATGTTGACATTATGCTACCAAATGTTTCTGCTGTAATACTTATGTACTGTCTGTTTCTAGAGGGTTTTCAGTCCTGGATGTGGAGAGGATTGACCTTCCTTCTGCCATTTCTCTTCTTTGGTCAGGTATGTATAGCAATGGGCTGTTCATTTATTGGCTCCATCTAACCTGTAATAGTGTATTGAACACAGCAGTGTACACTTTATGAGGTTACTGAACAATATGGTAGTGTGACAAGAGCACCCCTACCTGAAAAAAAGAAGGTTACTAAGAGATCCACGCGGAGTAATATGGATGACCCTGATATGAAGACGCTAAGTGCTTTTAAAATGATTTTATTTGCTTGACATGTTCACCGTGCTCATGTTTAACCTCCTTATGATCTATGTGATCAAATAAAGTATTGCCTGTAAAAAAAATTTGAATCCATATTACTCCGCGTGGATCTCTTAGTAACCTTCTTTTTTTCAGGTAGGGGTGCTCTTGTCACACTACCATATTGTTCAGTATGCATTTTCTGGGTTTATGGATCCACACCTATATACTAAGTGAGTCGGAGATATGATTATGACACCAGCTATTCGTGTCATTCTAGGTGGCCTTTTTCTGCTCTATTTTTGTGACTTTATGAGGTTAGTCTGAGCTGTTGTAAAAGGGTTGTTGTTTTTTTTTTTTTTTTTTGTATTTTAGTTCTGGCAGCTCTACAATGCAATCACACTCTTCCAACTAGCCAGGCATTCAGAGTGCAAGGAATGGCAGGTAATGTGCATTATAGTGGATTTTTTTTTGTACCCAAAGGTTTTATAATTGCATGTTGTGTATATCTCTGTCTCCACTTTTATTATTTTAATATTATGTGATACTGCCACATGAAGAGCATCATCAAAAAACTGTGTAGACAGCAGTACTCAAAATTACTTGCAGAAAACTACCAAAGACTGAAAACTACATTCTACTCTATAGTTAATAACTTGTATAATAAAGATAAGTGAGGTATGTAAATGCAAAAATCACACATTATACTGAAATATAAGAAGAATGTCTCTCTTTAAGTGCCCTGGGAAATGTAAACATAATCAACAAGCATATAACCGATGAATCTTGAGTATGAATAAGTGCTACAACCATGAATTTTCTCATCAAAAATCAGTACAGATATCATTATTTATTATACAGGATTTGTATGGCACCAACAGTTTGCTCAGCACTTTACAATATAACGGGAGACAATACAGCAACAATACAGTTCAGTACAAGAGTGTTAGGAGGGCCTGATCTTGGGAGCTTGCAATCTAAGAGGGAGGGTTAGTGGTACAAAAGGTAATAACTGTGGGGGATGGACTGGTAGGAGGAATAGAAGATTCCATTATTAGCTGAGGGCAGGATAGGCTTCCCTGAAGAGAGAGGTTTTCAGAGATAGCCTAAAAGTGAGCAGAGTAGGCATACTCCGTATCCACTGTTATGAATCCAAGACTTATAAAGCAACAATTAATAGAAGTTGCCAAACCACACTTAGGATTAATTAATCCATATATCAGTCTCATTCAATTGAAATTTAATTTTAAGCAGTCTACGTTTTTTCATGTTGTACAGTTCCTATTTTAAATGTGGTCTAGTCACTTGATCCTCCAGCTCCACTGTGTAAGGGAGCACTCGACAACGGCTGTGAATTGCGAGCGCTATGATGTCACTTATAGAATCCCATAGTTTAGCTGTTGTCGGCACTCCCTCCTCTTCCCTGCAGCAGCTGCTCATTGACACAGGAGAGCTGAATCTGCAGGAACACATTACCAGACCTGAGTGAATTAAAACTAAGTACACAGATCTTTTTCACACATGGTATGCAGGAAAGATGGAAAGAGGGAACGCTTTTAAGAATAGTTAGTGTTAGGCTTTTCTTCCACTTTAAACCCTTAGGTTCGCTAAAACTGAAAAATCAGCACAAGGGACATAATGTACAGTTAGTATGATGTGCCCGTTGTCTTGAATCTTCTGCTTTTAGTAGAAAACTTCATCTGTCTTACCCAACCCCACCACTGCAATCTTCTGGATTTGGAATCCACAGTGAATCTGTGTTCACTTCAAACATTCAATAATGTGCAAAAAAAATCCTGTCTTTTAAATCTCCTTTTACCCATGATTCAAAGTTAACATTTATTTTATTTTTTTTTTAGGTACTTCTATAGTGCCATCAATTTACGTAGCGATTTACACTTATATTGTACATTCACATCAGTTCCTAACCCGCAATGGGCGTACAATCTACGGTATAGCTTAAACCTTACTGAGATGGGGGAAGATTCAGTTTGCAAAGTGAACAGTCTGTAAGTTAGTAAATTAGGTTTTATTGTGTTCACAAACTTGAGAGTACAATTGAAAGCAGAAGTTTAGTAATATTTTTGGGGGAATTAACACCACACACATTAGTTATGTGTAATTGTTCATATCTTAGTAGCTGCTTCTGATAAAATTAACCTCTTTGCGCTGGCGGCTCCCGGCCCTTTAAGAGTTTCAGAAGGCAGGCGAGGTTTTAGGGTCATGTGACCACCGTGATTCGCCATCATGGCAGTCACATGATCGGAAAAGGTCCCAATCGAAAGGGGAGATCAGGACCTTTCCGTGAGTCACAGACATATGTGCTGGGAGCGCGCAGGGCGAGCGCCCTCAGTACATATATATTTTCAAATATGCGGCCGGGAAGCGTCAAGGCCCAAACGCCGAGAGGCCGCATACTTGTGTGCTCTCGGCGTCAAGAGGTTAATTCCTGCAGTATATCCTTCGCAGTTACCAAATAGTTTGATTGATTTTCTTCTGACACTGTGAAGAGTAACCAGAGTAGCTGCTACTGAGAAAATTTGCCCCCCTCCCTCTCTGCCATTCATAGAACTCCTACTGTTATCCTTCAACAATGCATTACGTTCTTTGAATGTTGGAGGAGCAGTTGGATGACAAGGTCTCCTTCACACATTCAAAAAAAAAATGCAATGCATTGTGGGAGTATAGTATAGCAGTATGAATAGTGGTGAGGGCAGAAGGGGGCGGGCAAGTGGTGCAACTTTTCTCTGTAGCAGAGGCTGCTGTTAAACTTTACAAAGCTGGAAGACAGCCAATCAGGGCAGCATCCAGTAACTGTGAAGGAGACACTGCCAGGGGGATTTTTACCAGAAACAGCAGCCTGCAAGTAATGGGGTAAACAACAATACACATTACTAATGAGGTTTGGTGCTGTATTCTAAAACAATATATAATAGACTTCTGCTGTAAGCAGATTGTGTTTGCTGTTATTGTGATGCTGTTAAAGAACAGTCATTTTTACAATCATGCAGTGATCCATCTGATCCAAACCGTTCTAAAGTTCTTTTTTCCTTTCAACTGTAGATCTGGTCACACCAAATTTAAAATGCAGTTTGAGATTTGCACAATACACCTTATTGTTTTTCCTTTTCCTTCAAAATAAATCATTTGGTTTGTTTTTTGTAGGTAATAATGTGTGGTCTCCCTTTTCTTGTACATTTCTTGGGAAATTTCTTTACAACTCTGCGAGTCGTCCACCAGAAATTTCAGAAACAAACTGAAGAACAGAAGGACAAGTGAATCAACTGTACGTCAATTATGATATCTAGTTGTATTGTAATTTGGGAAATCATATGATGACTGACAGCCTGAATTGTTTCCCTATTATTCCAAGCACTCCACTTGTTTTTTTTAAGGTTTAGGGAAAACTGTATGGAAGACTCTGTAGGAGTGCACATCCTAAAGTTACTGTGTTGCTACACCACTAAAAATAAGACCAGCCTTCAAAGAAAAGCATTGTTACTCTGCATCACCAAGCTGTCTTTAAAAGATAAAATTGCTGACAAATCTTCTGAATTTGCCACTTCTGTGTGTGTCAGATGCTACACCCCCATTCATTTTCCTCATTTCTTTAGCTGGCCCTACATCAAGCTGTATCCTGTAGGTGACTGGAGGATATTCATAAAACCACAGGGCTTGGTACGGGACCAGGAATCCCACAGTCCAGAAGTATTCTGGATGATAAAGACAGCAGAATTCAGTGGTGCAGTTCGTGGGAGGGATAGATATTAGATATTGTCAGATATTGTCATTTCCAGGGTTTGCTCAGAACTGTATATATGGCCATCTACGATGCCCTGTAAGCACATGGATGAAAAATCTAACTTGTATCACAGAGAACTGAAATGTATTGTATTTGTATGTACAAACCTACCTAGTTTTTAAGCCTCATAACTATGTGAACTCATATTATGAACATTTAGTGATCTGTTCTGATAAGTGACCTGTTGTTCATCTGCCGTCCTTTTGGAAATAATCTCGCCATTGCTATACACTCTCTCTTCTTTTTTTTTTTTTTTTTTTTTTTTACAAACCCAATGTATAATAAAATCTTCAACAAAAGATTCTGGATCTTTTTTTATTTATGGTAAATGTTACAATGTCAAAAGCAAAAAAGAATAACTCTGCAACATTTTAGACCCTGCAGCTACAGACACTTGAATTTACAGCACAACAGGCAGCTTGTGGCACACATCCCCTACAGCTAATGTAAGGTTTTGATGGACACTAAGGGGGGGGATTTACTAAAACTGGTGCACACAGAGTCTGGTGCAGCCGCGTATAGTAACCAGTCAGGTTTTAGGTTTTATTGTCAAAGCTTAATTGAACAAGGTGAAGTTAGAAGCTGATTGGTTACTATGCACTGCTGCACCAGATTATGTGTGCACCAGTTTTAGTAAATTTCCCCTGTTGTTCATATTTATAAAGCAGTAAATATGACATTCACCAAACATTTACTGCAGATGTATTTTCTATGTGCATGTGCCTGAAATGACAGTGATTGATTCACCACCAATGAATGTTTGTTGAAAGCCAAATTCACTGCTTTAAAAATTTGCCCCTAAAGAAAGTTTAACACCGCGAGTCAGATTTATTAAAGGAGGTGAAAATCTTTACTCACTACATTTTGTGAATATTCATTTAGACTGTTGGATCATTTGATAAGCAAATTCCTGTTCATTTTGAATACCCAATCATGTGCAGATGAAAGTAAACAGGAATTAGCTGTTCCTATGGTTGGATAATTGACCGCTGCTTGAGCTGGTCACTATATTGCAGCTATCCAGCTCTTTGTATCTCTAGCCTAGCTTTGAAGGTCAAACCACCACGGGACTGAACTGGACATTCAGGGCTAGCGTAGAATGTGACCTTTGGCACTGGGCTCAACATTGTGTCCCTTTCAAGAGCAAAGTGTACTGTGTTAGCCTTGGAGATCTTTCCAGATATAGAGACAAGGCCTAGCCCCAGGTGTGACCCTGTCTCTGAAGACTCACTTTGTTATGCAGTTTGGGCTAAAGCACCAGGAGCAACCTTACCATAGCACCATCCACTAGATGGAGTGACATCCACTTTTTTTCCTGCTATTCTGCTTGGAGGAAGCACCATCTTGCTGCTGTTCTTGCTTGCGAAGCACCACTTGGATTAGTGGTCTCTGCTCTGTTTCCATTTTCCACCCACAGTGATCTAATTACCTACTGCTGCCTAAAACCCTCCTCAGCATCAACTACCTGAGTTTGTATGTACCTGAGGCCTTGCCTTATGTTGGTCCTAGTTACTTACCAAAACACAAAGGCAACAAACAACGGACAGCTTTGCTGCCACAGGTGTCCCTAATAGCTCATACCCCTCTAAAGGTTTTTTGGGGGCATTTACTTAGTATCCCCAGAATTAATCAGTGCCTGTAATCCAAAACCTGGCAATCCTGTTCTTATAGCATAGTCTTCACTGGAGTCTTCTTTCTCTCTGTCAGATGTAGCTGAGTCTTGTTTGATTTCTACAGGGACATCCATGCATTTGCCCAATTAAAAATCACACCCTGCCCACAAAGGCTTTAAGTATTCTTCAGCAACACACCCACCCCCCCCCCCCCCCCCCTGTAGAGTTGGCCTCTAACCTTTCTGAACCTGTAGACCAGACTGGGCCTTTGACCCCTGTCACCATCTCTGACTCCGAAGCAAAGTCCCAGCAGTCTATCTCTGAAAAGATTGCTTTTAAGGCATCACAGACTCCTGTCATTTTCTCAAATATACAGGGGGCTGTTTCAAACCTTATTAATGCAGTGCATACTACCCTGAATCTGGAGGATCAGTTCGTCATTCCAGGCTTTGGGTCTTTAGAGGCATTGCAGCATTCATAACGACTGTTTGTGATATTCCTCTATGCTGAATGAGAGCACGGTGAGGAGTTTTGGGTCCCACCCGAAAGTGTGTCTGAGATGGAATTTAACTGTGGTCTGTACCTACAGTAGATACACCATTGGTCCACCTAACAGAAGAACCGCTAGGTTGATGTTGTGCTTCAATTTCAGGATTCCACTGACAGACAGCTAGAGACCCTCTGTCACAGATAGGGGTCAGGTTCGGAGACCACCAACTATAGCAGTAGAGAGGCTCCCACCGACCAGCTGGATAAGTGCCAAAGCAGGTCACCCTGGCGGATGACACAGGCTCACGTGAGGTCTGAAGTCTAAATACTAACCAGTGTTCACCAGAGCTCCTGATGGAGATGGGTTTTGTTGTGTGTTAGTATCAGGTTGCAATCCTTAGGATTGCCCCACCAGGAGGTGTACAAGCCAGGGTCCAGTAGCAGATATAGCAGAAGCATAGTTCGTAAACAAACCAAAGGTTGGTAAGTAGTGGTTGCAGGTTGAGATCAAGGAGAAGCATAGTCAAGGAACAAGCCAAAGGTCGGTAACGAGTGGTAGCGAAGATAGACATCAGCAGGAATGACCAGAGCAAGATATTGGCTAAAGAGAATACAATAAAAAAACAGTGCAAAGGCATGGCTAAAATTTGAAGTTCATGGTAGGAGCAAAGAGGGAAGCAAGGTTGAAGGCAAGATCATTCAAGGAATTGTTTAGGGAGCTGTCCAGCATCCCAGGTGGCTCAGTAAGAAAGGACATCTTCCAGACACAGCAGAGATTGCAGGCTCAGACCCTGGTTCTGACACCCGCCTAAAATCCCAGTTTAAAATTGTCTCGTCTTGCTCTCTGTTCAATATTGGCAGTGACTTTAATCTGTAAAGCCATCGCAGAATGGGTGGATTTCCTTTAAAAAGGATTCCTCCCCCACTTGGGTAGGCGCCTCTTTCAGGGTGTGGCTGAAGCAAACACACATGCATCTACACGTGTGCTCGCATAGGACTGATGTGTATAGAGATGCACAGAGCACTCTGGCTGCATGGTTGAGATGCTGATGCTGCATTCAATGAGTGTTTGCCCCATCAGCCTTCAAGGGACTTTGTCTTTCAAGCATTGCTCTTGAAACTGCCTCAATACAGGATGTCTGTGAAGGGGAAGGTGGAATCCTACCCATCTACATCAGCAGTAGACACTTGCCTTCAAAGCCTGAAGCCAGAGGTCAGCCAAAGCCCCTGAAAAACCTTCTGCATGAAGGTGCCCCCACTATAATTGTGGGACTGAATGTGCATTTGTTGGTCACATGGATAATTTGGCATTTAGGTGTGGGAGAGACCCTTTTTTAGCCAACATACCACCCACTTGTCCCTGTCACCTCCCTTAGTTGCTCACTACTCACTACCCCTCTTGTGCCACTGTCTTGTCCATGTGTTCACCCCAGTGCCTTTTCCTAGCATCCCCATTTTGGGATGTTCAGAAGACTTTCTATAAAACAGGGGTCCCCAAACTGCGGCCCCCGGGCCATATGTGGCCCTTTGCTTGCTTTTATCTGACCCTTTGTGGCACTTTTCCTTCCACTGGTATGAAGCACTGTTCCTTCCATTAACAACAACGATGGGGCGCTATTCTTCCCACTGACACCAATGATGGGGTGCTGTTCCTCCTACTGACACCAACGATGGGACACTGTTCCTTCCACTGATCCCAACGACGGGGCACTGTTCCTCCCACTGACAACAGCGACGGGGCACTGTTCCTTCCGCTGACACCAGCGAAGGGACACTGTTCCTCCCGCTGACACCAGCGAAGGGGCACTGTTCCTCCCACTGACACCAGAAATGGGGAACTAATTACTCCACTGGCACCAACATTGGGGCACTGTTCCTCTCATTGACCAACAAGCCTAGGGTATTTACTCCCAATGGCCACAATCTGACTCCCCTAAAGTTTGAAGGGCAGTAAACTGGCTCTTTGTTTCAAAAGTTTGGAGACCCCTGCTCTAAAGAGTCAGCTTTGTGGACCCTTGCACCCCTCAGAAGGTCCAAGATTCGCTTGGGTAAGGCCTCACAGCCATGAACGGTTGGTAGCTCCCGAGGTTGTTTACTGCAAACCTGTGCTAAACCAGTCTTCACCCTATGTGCCTCTGACCCCTTTGTCAACAGTCAGGGAGTTTACCCCTTTTCTCAAGCCCGGAGTGTGTTGGATGTTGGGGTAACCTTCTCTAAGGATGGTCTTCTATTGTTGATTCTAGTTCATCTCAGCTCCCATTTCTATTGCTAGGGGTCTAGATTATGATCGAAACATCCACATTGTCCCCATAGACCACATAGTCCCCGGTGTGGCCCATCAGTCTCTTCATGTGAGTGGGGTGCACTTTCAACCC